CGATTCTTAGCCAACGGCCGGTACTTTACCTAGGTGGTGGACCTTCCTACTTCCTATTATCGATCCACTGAATAACTTTAACAAACAGTATTTAAAATATCAAGGTTTTAGTACCGTCACACAATGTTTTGATTACTGTATAATAAAACGACTGATGAAACCAACTCAAATCATTTTATTATACAGTAAAACTTGGTTATAGCATCATCGGTTTCTGCGACACCTTGTCTATTGCGTCAAATATTAAAATTTTTATACCTTTCTTAGTACGACATGCACAAATGCATCAACCTTGTATGTAACGTCATTTTCATTCATGAATTTCTCTGATATCGTGGGAAAGTTCGATGTGTCTGCCCACCCTCACTTTCTCTACTTGCTGACATGACTGTCCTGGAAGAATACGACCGCGGCCTGCAAGAGGAGCTTGGGTTTTATGCGAAAACAAGGGTGTAGGGTGGGACTGCGTGAATAGTGCAAGAGGACGCGGCAGGTTGTTAACTGCATTCCTTTCCTAGAATCTCGTCTAACAGGACCTCACATTGTCTACTTACCCTATAGTGTTCCTGCCTAAACCCAGAGAAGTGCAGTAGCGAAAACATGGCAATGAAAAGGAAAGTTTTAAGCACTGAAAAGAAAGTTAAAGTGATTCGTGAAATAGAAAATGGAAGGAAAAAAGCTGATGTATGCCGCGAATTTGGTTTGGTGAATTCTACAGTACAAACGATATGGAGAATCCATATTAATTCCACGTTAATATTACGTTAGTCTGTACTTAACTACGTATTTCACTAAAAAATGCAACATTTTAACTCGGTTTTTGGTAGATTTTTACGTGACTAACATAAGGCTACTGTGGAAGTGCCCATTTCGGTTATAACGACATTCGTTTATAACGACACTATTTTTAGGTCCCTTTGATGACGTTATAACCAAGTTCTACTGTATTAAAGTTTCGGTATCTTCTGACCATCATCTGGTGTGTAAGAATAAAAACAATAAATATAAAAGTTTATGTGGAATTGAATGATGAAAAGACACACCACAAACAGCCACGAGAAATACCACAATGCATACAAACCTAAAACCACGACGAGACTACACGCAGAGAAATGTGATATTCAACAAATACACAGAAAAATATGCAACACCAGTGAATATTTTCAGATTTCGCAACAACGCAACACAATACACCCAATATTCCCCGCGACATCACAAGATATATAACACGGCCAAGAAATCAGAAGAACACTGAAGATACACAGATATGTCAAGAGAGTGCCAATTATGTATTTAAGAATTACTCGTGTACGCATAATTTTAATTAAAAAATTACAATCAGTCCCCCCTTAAAAATAAATAAAAACACACTACACTACAACCACAATTTGGGCTACTTTATATATACAGGGAGGAGTTTTACTCGAGTTCGCGGATCTGCGCTTCACAGAGACCGGTGCGCCGCCTGCCGCGAGGCGCATACGAATTTTGCTGATGAATCAGCTATTAACGTTTGGACTCGAAGGGAAGTAATTAACCTATAGACCGTTCCACAGCATTATGTTTCATAGCGAGCAGTGCAGTTCATGTGTGGAAGTTTGTTTATAATCTGCCAGCAGTAGGCAGCAGTTACCAGCTCCAATAGTAATTTTTTCTTAGTTTCGGTTAGTGAGCAGTGTGGTACATCATGGTGCGGTATATTTCAAAATAACGTGTATTTCTGTATGACACCCATGTGCAATACGGATCTGGTACAAAGTGTTGGCGAAAATTTCGACGTAAATTTCATGATGAAATAATTCCCAGCTGACATAAAATTCACAATTTGATAAACAAACTTAGAAAAACGGGACTCTTAATTGGCAAGAAACAAAAACAAAGGCACCGGTTGCTTGCTGAGAAGTTATATGACACAGGGACCAAACGTGAACATACACCTACAAAATCACTGAAATGTCTAGGTCAAGAGGCTGGAGTATAGAAGTCTAGTGCAAGAATGGCAACAGAACTGCTGAAGCCATGCAGAGAAAGTTCGCGTCTGGTGTGCTGTAAGTGCAAGAAGGAATGTCACATGTGTTTTAACGAAGAAAATAATTGTAAAAATTATCTACGAGTAGAGAGGCCGGCATTTCAACACCTCCTGTTATCTGTGTACTGTAACTATTTCATTCCGAACGGTATCGGCTATCAGGTATGCAGATTCATCTGCAAAATTCGCATGTGCGCAGGAGATGCACCGGTCGTCGTGAAGCGCAAAGCCGTGAACTCAAGTGAGCGAAAATTCTCCCTGTATAATAAAACATGTTCATTGTTGAAGTACTTATATCTAACGGAATGAGTGATTCCGCTATAGAAGAGTTTTGCTGTATCTAATTCCGGAACTCAATTGCCAAAAAGTTACAGAATTCAGTTAAATTTTTATGAATAAGGCAAAAAAAGTGTTACAAATTTTGCGGCACTTATCAGTACTCTGTATTCGGGTAAAATGACATCTTTATTTTTAGCAGCTAAATAGGACTGATTGCAAATGAACTTGGGTGAATATACCCGTGATTGCATTGAATCAAGATCTTCCGAGCTTGAGCCACTGATGTATGAATATTTTTGGAAGTAATTTAATAAACAGAGAGTCGCAGACTCAGGCTGTCACATAAATAAAATCTTATTGTTATTCCCTCATTCACGAATGTGGTGTTTTTCCCCGGTATTGAACGCCAATATAAAGTCTGTGGTCTCCCTGGTATTCCGTCGCAATGAATGCATATGCAACGGTTATGTTCATATGACCTGCAGATCCATTATGGCAACAATGCGTGTGAATGAGACCACAAGAAATGATACCCTGGCAACTTAAATATGCTCATTCACGCACAATATAGTCAGTCCTCAGTGCGACTATTTTCACTTTTATTTCTCCTCCTTACATGTTTCGGCCTCAAACTGCAACAATCAGGTGCTTTGTCTTCGTCAAAACTGTAGCACTGTATAAAACGTAGGTATAAAATGTGACGTTTCTTGTTTAAGTTACTTGATGTACACTCGATATTTATTCGCATTGATTAAGTTCACTCACTCCCAAATTTAATTTTGGTTTGAAATTTCTTAAAATTATATAATTCTTGCACCTCTATTAGGATCGTCATCCACTTGTACAAATGATATAGTTCTATGTTACGGCTTGGTGTTCGTGTGTTGCTCTGTTCGTTAGCCCTTTCTGTGTGTTATCATTTGTTCTTATTTGTGCGTTCTCTGGCCCTGCGTATGTTGTTGTTAACACTTGTTTGTGGACGTTTGAAACCAAAATAAAATTATAATGCAAATAAATGTCGAGCGTACATAAAGTAAATTAAACATGAAACATCACATTTTCACGTCTATAAATAAGGGAACGTTTTATACAGTGCGACAGTTTCACTTGTTTCACTCCTCTGTGTACTATTTCCTCATCGCTGGGCAATTGGATTTTTTTTTTTTTTTTTTTCGTCCGACGAACACTTTATACAGAAGTGGTTCACAAAGTGAGCTGTATCGCCCCCGGTGGGCGCTAAGAGGCAAAGGAGAGGCAGGAGGCGCTGGTGGTGGGCCCCTCCGAGCGCGTTTTTTTGCTCATTTACGAGTGAAGTGGCATTACACCTGACACTGGGAAACTTGTATCACTTCATCAAGCCCATCCATAGCATTAAGAATCTACTAACAGTGACGCAGTTACTACATGTAAAAGGTAAAGATGTCCCTGTGCTTAACTAATTAAGCACCACGCCATGAAGGCGTATGGAGGATGGATGTATATATCCACATTTTCTCGACCTCGGCACTAGGTGTAGGTGAGTGGTCAGCTTCACGACCCGGCCGCTTTACTCCCCAGTACCCATTAGATAGGATGTTGGGTGGGCCCCAGAGCCGGTTTGAACGACGTGGACTCGAATTACGACCCCTCAGTCGTCGAGCCAGTAGCCAGTCGCTATACCGACTGCATTATCCCGGCTCCAGTTACTAAATGTATTTATCTTATTTCATTGTTATTATCTTCCTTCGTGGGTTGTGCAAACTGCTATGCTGAAGTATGCTTTTTATAGGGTAGGGAGGGGTAGAGTAGGATAGGGTAGGGTAGGGAGCATTGGGGATGAACTTGTGGAATCACAGGGGCGGTTGCCCGAAAAAGTTTGGGAAGCATTACTGTATAGCAACTACAAGTCGAATTATTTGAAATTAAAATGAAATCGCATACAAATTTACGTACGTACGTACCGGAAAAATTTCACAGTATAGAGAGTAGCTTACCAGCGAGACGTAAATCCAATTACTCTATTTCTACTACGTTCGAATTGGTCTCTTTTGAGTCATAATTCGTATAATCTACTCGATGTGTAATTTGAGATTATTTCTGTATCCACGGTTACTGAACCCCCCCCCCCCAAAAAAATTACCGTCAGCAAGTACGGTCTCGCGTTCACGTAATTGCGAAATGTGCTATGCAACAACTGCATTGCCTGGCAAAGGTAACCGATATAAATAAATGACAATTGGTTTCGATTTACTTCGCAACTTATAACTGTGAATGAACTAATAAGAAACGCCAACTCTATAAAACGGTATTCGTTCATGACCCGTCCAAGTTAAACCAAATGAATTAGACCACATTGCATTAAAACAATCACAGCTCTAAGAGCACAATTTATATTTCAAAATTATTCGTTTACGACTTTTTAAAATAAATAATAACATGTCCTTCTCGGATAGTATAAATTTCCGCCTTCTCCATAAACAGGAATAATTACATTCTTCTGGATAACTATAACAAGTTAACATGCAGTTACAGCAGATAACAAAATGGGAGATACACAGAGACAGTCCCATAAAATGATATGGGGAGGGAGGGAAGGACCGGTATTCTGTAATAATGCCTCACATAAAATGTTAGCATCATCAACAACGTGTTACAGTAAAAACTAAACCAAAAACCTATCTTACAGCAATAGTAACTATTTTACTGTACTTACCATTGTCTGAATGTTCAATTCCATTTTTCTTTCTTAAGTCTGATTCGTTGCTTGTTTCCCGTTTTTCTTTATCATCTACATCTGCTAGTAGTTTATCAACTTCAGAATCACTCAAACCAAACTGTTCACTATCATCAACAAAATCCAAGGCCGCAGCCTCTGTACTAGTCCTCTGTGCTTCATCTTTTGATGTCCCAACATTTTTCTTTTCCTCACACACTGACTCATGTGGAATACCATTGGTAGACCCTATGCTCTTCAATTCAGTATTTTCTTCCGAATTCAAACCCAGTTTCTCCCACTGGTGCGGTATAGTCACCTTCTTTACAGTCATGTCAAAGGAAACAGATTTACTTACTTCAAATATTCTTTTTATTGGACTTGACTTTTGTGATGCACCATTTAATGTTTCTGGCTTTTTAATTTGTCCATTTGGGTAATCATTTGATGGCAAAGCTACAGCACTTTGGCCACACTTCGTATCCTTCATCATTCTGTCACCACTCTTTACCTCACACACGTGTTCAGAACTGCTTAATTGGGGCACTTCACGTGGAAGCTCTTTCATAAGAATAGTCTGTGCCGTTGATTCAATTAAATCTACACAAATTAACAATTTCATGTTATTCTGGTAGCAACTGGTAACCTTTCATGTCTTGCGGGTAGATCAAACCTAGGTACCACCTGGAAATAATAATACAACAAGTGCGATAGTTAAAATGCACAACTGTAGTTTATATTTACACTACAATAAACTTTAAATAACTTAAAACTAAAAATAGTCCCTTTATTATTATTGTTATTACCATTACTGTAATTATTATTAACATAATCACAGCCATTGTCGCAGTCGCCACCATCAACACCATTAAATTCGTTAAGATTCGTAACTTGATACACATCACATACGTAACTCCGAGAATGTCACACCTCATACCATTAATCACAACTAGCATTCAAGATGGCGACCGAACACTACACACGCCTTCTCCTCTTCAACTCCTCTTTTGAATAGTTTTACTCACCGGCCAAATAAATTTAAGCGACTACAGACAGAAACGATCTGAGAAACTACGCTACGACCGATACCTGTTAAGGAATAAATATTCCCAAAATATGATGCGATATTACGCATCACAATTCAAAACTAGTCGAAAAGGTCTTACAGTCCTAACTCGAAATCCTGCCATCATATATACGCATAGCTACAGGGTGTCAACTAGTTCCGACATAAATGAGGCACTGATCAAAATATAAATCTGGAAAATCCCTCTACCCAGAATTCCACAACACAGCGCCTGTATCTCGGTTCAACCGGGTCTCACACACAACATGACAACGTTGCCTACCTTCCCACTTTCAGGTCAGAGCATTAGCTGCGCCTGGTAGTGACCAACAGAATGCGCTGAAGAGAATCAAATAAACCAACATGGCGTCTGAAACAACTTGAATCGCTTCCTCTCGATTTCCTCCCAGACATTATTTTACAAAATTTACTATACAAATATACGCTGTTCCCTCCAACCTCTCCAACGCCATGAACTGGTCGAATACTCCGTCACATTATGCTTTTCAAATTTGTTCCCAAGTGCACAGGAAGTGACGCAAAACTATCCACTCAATCCCCCTTCCCAAAAGTCATCATTAAACCAATTATGACAACGGATTCTGAGTTCCATGCCGTGCTTCAGGCACTTAATTTATAAATGATTTTCGTTATCACACGAAACTTCGGCATCAGAAAAGCAGAAGCCGTACGTCGATAATAATAATAATAATAATAATAATAATAATATAACGAGCAATAAGTTTAGTATCCCATGAAGCGTTGGTCCCTGAAAAGGAAAAGAGATTAAAAAAACAAATAATTATTTAGTCATCATGTATCTGTAGTAAATAGTAATAATTGGTTAAATAAAATTTTCTAGCGTACAGAAACAAGAATATAAAACCACTGAAAAACTGGCAACTGTGTCTAAATTAAAAAAAAAAAAAAGTTGACATCCATCAACTGCTTGACAAACGTTGACATGGCCGAATATTCAAAATAAAAATAGCGCTATTCCTTCAAAAATCTTAATGCAAGCAATAACAAGACATTTCATGCTGATGTCACATGCACACAGAGCCAAATACACACGCCAACACATATCAAGAGCTGTGCCAAACGGATGGCACATCCTGATGTTCAAATTGTAAAAATGTCCGAAACGATTCAATTATACAGATCCTAGATGTAAGTTAATATACCGCGACACATCGATCGACGGGACTGTGGAGTTTCCTTTGCCTCACGATTCGGCGTCCGAACCGCTGAGGGTGCCTGAAACTCGTCGACGCAGTTACTGTATGCATGTACTAATGGCCAGTCCCGTAAATTACGTCTCAAGTGGTCACCAAATGGGCAACTGTACATGCCCCTTAAATTTACAAGTTCTAAACGGGCAATTATATGTGTCCTTTTAGATTATTTCTGCATCAAGCGCAAATCCAACGTCCTGCGCTCAGAGAACGCAGAGCGCCATTGCGCATCATTTTCCTGCGCAAGTGGCTGTGGGGACCAATAAAAATTATTGCACCACTGGATATCCTTCATAATGTAAGCCAGTGCACTAAAATATTAGACGGTGGTTAACTTACTGAAATAATTCGATGTGCGCCGGTTGAACAGCGATAAAAACCTGAAGTCGAGCTGACGGTGTACGACTGCAGACCAACGCCAACTCCTAAACGTCGACCCTCGGGAAATACGCCATCCTACCGATCAACGAGCGAGACGAAGCTTGTCCACTGTTGCCACGTTGCACAACTCTGTGCAACATCTGGCAAACAGGCGGTGGGCTAGTCATTCCGAAAGAGGTTTCGCCACCTCGACCATGTATAATACATACATATACACATACACACACACACACACAAATACAAAGACGTAAATTCAATTGCTCCAAATAAACTGCATAGCACTATCACATTATACGCAATCACGTTTCAAAATGAGTTCAGCTGCCCCCTTTTTCGGCCAAAACTTACGTACTTTAGTCTGGTTATAACTTCTACAGCTCATGAAATCTTGATCGAACAAAATACTGACGAATATACAGTACAGCCTTTGGCAGCAACAAAAAAAAAAAAAAAAAAAAANGAGAGAAATAACTTCAACGCATGCGCAAATGAATCTAGTTGTCCTGCCCTTAATTGATACCACATCTACAGGAATAATACAAGACTAACTTTCAACACTATGATTAAATGTTCATCGTTTGTTACATTCTGAAATATCTTATTCAGTTTGGGCTAAACGTCTGGTTTTGCACTGGTGCCATGAGTGTGTGGCGTATTTAATATAATAATAACACCAACAGCGTCTGCCTAATCAATGAGACGTGAAAATAAAATACGAACACTGCCATTAGTCTCACTATACCAAATTTGGGCCAAAACTGCACACAAATGCTGCGGATATTCCCTGTCATATATATCTACAGGCAGCTACAGCGCTGCGCGGCTCTCCCCTGGCGCTACTACTCGATCAACCAGTTCTATACCAGAGCAGCTGTCTCCACAACACCCCTTGAATTGTACCTTGTGCGAGGATAGGTTTGGTGTGCCAGCTATCAAATTGCTGTATATAGATTACTCTCACACTTCAAAACAAAGAACGTTCTATACAACACGAAGTATTTACTGGCTATGGTTGATATGAACTGTATCAAACACACTTTTGCCAATGCCGATGGGTCATGCCAGGATTCCTTCCGAAAGTTGTCCTATTTTGATCCATGCATTTCGTCGCCAAATTCAAAAACTTATTATTATTTCTCCATCCAACTCAAAACTTCCCCAAGCTTCGCACCATGCTAGCAAAGTGAGTGGAAACCGTAGGCAACGTTCAAAGAAAATATTAAGATTCACACACCACGTCCGAGTGAATCCTCGTTGCCCTCTGGATAGAACTGTAGGTGGCCGCATGCCATGCAACAGACAAATTCAAATTCTCTTTCAACGAATCGAAATCCCTCTGCGAAATCTAGACTCCAACGAAAGATCTGAGAAAAATGTTCTACAAAAAGGAAAGCCGTGCTCATTATAAAGTTCCACTACCGTTCTTCTGCTACAGAGTTTGAAAGGAACCAATGAAACATCGTTACTGAAAAACCAGAGAGAATGTTTCGTGCAATTGCATATGAATTTCGTTGTACATACAACGGTAAGAAATGCCCCAGGAATTCCTGAACAGTGAGATTTACATGTAGTGACATGCTCACAGGGAATAATTTTGAATCTGCTGTCACGGGCATACAATTATGCTGATTATATCAATTTCGAGAATTAAATACACCCACAATGTCAATGCTAAAAACAATATAAACACACCTTATATTTTTATATCTTGTGCATAATTCATACACCTTTCCTATTAACATGTGGAAAAGTGCGAGCAAGGCGGCTGGATCTGAGACAGAAAAAACTAAAACAATTTTTGTAGGCCTGTTTCATGTTGATTTCTTGACTGGATCATCAACTCTAAAGATTAAGCCGACAAGTTCCACCGAAACGCTGTTTGACTTTCACCGGAATTGTTATATCCCACAAAGCAGACATCTTCACAACAATTTTGGTCGTGTTCCGGATCCCAGTAATTTCAATACACACCCATAAGTTTGGGTGTATTTAATTACTTAAGTCACACCCGGTTTATATTATGGAAGGAAAAATTGTTTCTCGACGGTAGAGGGGAAAACCCGCCCCAGTTAAGTTTTGTCAGCGCTAAAACACAAAGTAGCAGCGCTATCCAGCATCTTAAGATTAGTAAGCTTACGAAATGTCATGGAAGAACTAAGCAGTGATTCGTAACCTTTACAGCAGCCTCCACCCCTTGGTATCTCAAAATATGGTCACGTGCCGCTTAATCAAAAAACGTCTAAGAAGGTTTGTTCTTTACTTACTTACTTATGGAGCTGAGCCCTTCTTGAGATGAAGCCAAATCTGCAGCTACTCAAGAAGTTCCCAGTATTTTACGGAACCCGAAGGTTCATTGCCGTGTTCACAAGGGCCATCCACTGGTCCCTATCTTGTGCCAAATCAATCCAATCCATCCTATCTTTCTAAGATCCATTTTAGTATTGTTCACCCACCTACGCCTTGGTCTTCCCAGTGGTCTCTTTCCTTCTGGCTTTCCCACCAATATCCTACATGCATTCCTTTTCTCCCCCATTCGTGTTACATGCCCTGCCCACCTCATCCTCCTTGAATTGATCATTTTAATTATACTTGGAGAAGAGTACAAGTTATGAAGCTCCTCATTATGCAGTTTTCTCCAACCTCCTGTCACTTCATCCCTCTTCGGTCCAAATATTCTCAACACCCTGTTCTCAAACACCCTCAGTCTATGTTCCTCCCTTAATGTCAGAGACCAAGTTTCACAGCCATAAAGAACCACAGGTTTGTTCTTTATACTTAATAATGTTTTGTTTGTATATTGTGCTATTATGCTATAAGATTGATGAAAGAAGGTAGTCACGCTTAATGGTTGTACTTAATTTTTTTATGGTTTACCTTATAAACGAACTGGTATGTCTCGCACCCCCAGGTTAAGAACCACTACAACAAAGAACGCAAACAAAAAATCCTATTTGTGTTTACATTTAATATACAGAATTTTCCGAGGTTTCAAACACCAATACACTGCTGCCAAGACTGACACTACCAACTGCCACATGAAACCATCTTACTCGGCGTAACAGAAAACGTGTCCTGTTGCAAGTTCCCGTAAAATTAATGGAGGACGGCTGAATTTGTCAACGTTGGAGATTATGGCACATGATTTAGGCACGAGTAAATTCTGTGATTCATGTTACCGCCAGATTTTATTAATTTTTTCAAACCTCAAAATGAAATCAGGCTATGCAGTTACTGTTATGCGTATAATCGTAGATTTCAACGCGGAACACACACGACCTATTACTTGCCAATCATAGGTCTATTATAAGCTTACTGCAATCGCTAAAGCAGTGATGTCATTGCGTACCATTAACATAGTGTACAGCGAAAGAGCCCTTTGATCAGTTCCACGTTGCACCTACTTTACCCCAGGGCAGTGAACATCGACTTCTCAGCTTCCTTGACCATAACGACACCTATGCAGTCCCTTCCTGAAAGTTTAAATCGCAAGTGACAATAATGCAGGGATACTCAAATTGTGAGCCGCGACCCCCGAGGAGGTCGCGACATACTCTATAGGGGTCGCCGAGTTCTGGGGAATTAATTAAAATATAATTGTATGCAAGCACTGTTTCAGCATGTCGGTAAAATTCGTTATAGGTGCTTTCAGAAAATATATCGACACAATTCCTGTATAAGTTGAATAAATTGTCTTTCCACTTTAAGACATGTTTCGGCCATTCGGGCCATCATCAGATGGGTAATTTTACATTAACACTCTTTCTCTGCTATTATTCCCATACACTGAACAATTTATACAGTTTTTTTAGGGGGAAGGCCATATGTGTTGCTTATAGTATGAATACCGGCTGTAATTCATGTGCAAGCTTAAAATAGTTCAAACATAGTACGGCGCTAAAATACAACATTACTAATTTCGCGAATGTTTTCATGACTCTGGACCGCCTCTGTGGTCTAGTGGTGACCAGAGGTCCGGCTTCGATTCCCGGCGCTACCAGATTTTTTTCTGAGAAGTAGTGGGTCTGGAACGGGGTCCACTCAGCCTCGTGAGGATAACTGAGGAGCTATTTCAAGGAAATAGAGGCTCCGGTCTAGAAAACCGAAATTAACGGCCGTGGGGATCCGTTGCGCTGACCACGCGACACCCACTATCCGCTAAAGTTAGCACTAACTTCGTCGACAAGCGGCGGTCGCTCGGTCGGTATAGTTCGCTTGCGGACTAAAATCAGGAAGTTTGTTTTTTGTTTTTTTTATGACTCTATAGGAACGTTTTATAGCAAACTTACTGTAGATATTGAGGAAATCCTCTTGTCCCTCAAGGGGAGCGAACAGCGATTTCTAGGTCATCCATCCTGTAACCTAGTCTCTATCTATCTCAACTGAGCTATCTTTTTTCTTTCACGTTTCATGGGGGTTGGGTGAGGCTGCGATCAACTGGTATGTCGGCCACTGTTTGTCCTACTGTACCAGCCCTAGATGGCAGATGATGCATGTGGAGCAGTTGGTGTAATGAAAATTGACCGCGGAAACCGAAATACTCGGAGAAAACGTGCCGCCAGTGTCACTTTGTTCACTATACATTCCACATGACCTGACATAGGATCGAAACCGGGCTGCCGCAGTCGGAAGCGGTCACTAAACGCATGGGATATGTCACGGCCTGAGCTGTCCGTTAATATGGACCTTATAACGAATTAAGATCAAAATCTGTCAGGCGACTATTATTAGGCTCTCCTGTAAAGCAGTCATTACAATTACATCACTGAAACTTATGCATTATAATAATAGTATAATGCAACTTCCATGCATAAAGTTTCATTAAAATCCGTCACAGGATTCAAAACACACATGTAAAAGCTCAACTAGGTCCTTAAAATGAACTGAACGATACTTGGACTATCTCTATGGAGCAATGTCCTTGAAAGGTTAACAGTCGCTCAGTTACCGAACAAATTCTTTGTCAAGCTCAACCAACAGTTATAAATAATACTTTTGTATAAATCTCGCATCATAAATTTGTAATTTAGTGTCCTAAATGTTCTTGGCTCTGACTGGAAATTCTGGATGTAAATTTGTAACCTGTCGCTGTGACTAGAACAGAAAATCAATAGGGCACGCAAACAAATCTAAAAATGCCAGCTTCGTTTTTACATAGTTTTTGGCAGTTGTCAGCACTGAAGCTTTAAGAATAAACTCTTAGTTATACATCTTCCACGCTGCAAACTTCAAAGACGGAGTAAATTTGTAAAATTCTTCTTCTGACATATTTTCTTTCACAAAGTTCGCTATGTCACTTAACTCTTATTCATTTGTATCTTCACTTTTTTTTATTTCTCATCTTACAAGCTTCTCGAGTGTGAAGTCAGACCCAATTATTCGAATAAGGCAGTGTGTCCTTTTCATCAAAACTTAAAACTTTTATCGTGTAAATTACCTCACTTCAAACATATTATCATTATTATAGTCACAATAATTTTTGGATTTTAAAGGCATACAGCAGAGCACGAGAACACAGATTTGGTCCCCTCCCCCCTCAACCTTCCTCAAGAAGCCCAGCGAAATGCAAGAACAAAAATGGCATCCATTTCGGTTTTGGTTCGGATGGACTTCGTGCGTAGTCGGAAGCTTCGGAATTCAAATGCAATAGCCTCGCGCAAGGGACTCAATTTTCTCCAACTGTTTTCTGAATACAGTCCAGTTTCGACTGTACACTAGGCAAATTTCAAACCCATTGCAGAAGCCGCTTACAAGATCCTCTAAGAAATGTTCCCCATTAACATTGCTTTACATATCGCCTGAGCTGCTCTATCCAAAAAAATGGACTTTTAACAACAGTCCACCACTTTTGAATGCACGTCATAGCATTTGGAGAAATATGTTACAGATTGATGTTTTCCCACAACGGTCAACATACAAAATATCAAAATAACCTGTGAACATGCGCCAAAAGCACCAAATATATTAAAGTGTCCTTTCGGCATGCATAGTCAATCCAGCTGGTTAATACCATTTTAGATTATAATAAAATCAATATTCCATCTCGGCGAATCTCTCTTTTTGGTCAACCTCTACTGACAAACCTACTGTGTCCTACTACCAGAAAATACAGCGTAGCTTACGGTAGGCCGCACACGGGCATGCGTCAAGACACGATGTCTGCAACATGACACAAAGAAAGGAGCACAGTTGAAACGAGAGAGATTATGAAAACTGCAGAACACAGGACTGAGTCATGATGCTAACGAATCACGAATGAAGCAAGACTGCGTATTTTGTCTCACGTCTTGATGCTTGTCTTGACGCCCTACAACTAAACTACAAAGATATCTATGGTCAACCAAACGACAGCAGGACCCAGAATGTGGAATTTAAGGTTCTCGCAGCGATAGTTATGAAAGACTAGTCCGTTGAATGTCAACCGACGTTTCGGATAATCATACTGCCTCAATATTAACGGTTGATTAAACAGCCAAGAAAGTACTGCACGACAAGCAAAATATGCTCGGCGTACTCTTCAACCAAGAAAATGATGGTGACATGTTCCTCCGAAACGTCGGTTGACTTTCCAAGGACTGCACGGCGTTATATTACAGAAGAGAGAACTCTTAGGGATTCAGAACAACAAAACGTCATTTTCGTCACAGAAGTACGGCGGTCAAATATATATAGCATGTGGAAACGATACAAAGGACATATACAAAATTGGACAAATCAATGTTTCGATATGTTTACTCGTACGTTTAACGTTGCAACCCCAAATCATTTGGGCCATGTTAACTAAACACCAGCACATTCAAATGAATGTATATGCTTATTCTGCCCACAATTACAATAATTACAGTTGCATCTAGACGTCCCGGAAATACTACACAATACACTGTGTCATATTTCGAATTCCGCCTCATTCCAAATCCTAAATTTCAGGCCATTTGTTGCTTTAGTGCACTGCTGAATCGAACGCGCAATGCACAAATAGATGACGCTGATCGCCTAGTTGCTCCTGGAAATCCTGGAGCAGTGACCCTGTTCCGCCGAGCCACTACTAGATAGCCATTTTGTAAATCTCAAGGCAATGCCTTGTTACACGATTGTTGAAATGATGAGCAACAATGTTCTTTATATTCTGGGCATTACGTCACTTGTCACCAGTGTCTCACACAACCCCGTGTACACTGACAACAACAAATTAACAATCAAAGTTATCTACAGATCACGGCGTGCAGCATGTTAACATAAAATAGAGTATGGATAACAAATCCCTCACTTCATGTCATGCCTCGAAGTCGTTCAATTCTGTTGCTTCCACATACGTCCCTCGTTCTATTAACCATCATACAAACTTGTGTATAAGGCACACCTTACTACATGCACATAAGATTAAACAATACTAAGACAATTCCACAACATTACTCACCAATCCTAACGGCGTTTCTCCCGACCACAGTACACAACTCTTATTAAAGCACGAATGACGTATTTTGGGTGGTTGCGCGTGCGCATACAAGCAGCCAATGAATGATGGCGATGGGTCCAAGCAGCGCTTTTACGGAAGAAGTGGGAACCTCTGCAGTATGCCCACAAAATTAACCATACTTACTTACTTATGGAGCTGAGCCCTTCTTGAAAAGCCAAATCTGCAGCTACTCAAGAATTTCCCAGCATTTTATGGAACCCGAAAGTTCATTACCGTGTTCACAAGAGCTCTCCACTGATCCCTATCCCGAGCCAGGTCAATCCAATCCATACCATCCTATCTCTCTAAGATGCATTTTAATATTGTCCACCCACCCAGTGGTCTGTTTCCTTCTGGCTTTCCCACCAATAGCCTATATGCATTCCTCGTTTCCCCATTCGTGCTACATGTCCTGCCCATCTCATTCTCCTTGACTTGATCATTCTAATTATACTTGAAGAAAAGTAGCAAATTAACCATAGAATTCAAATTTCAAATTTGGACAAAAAGTCTTGTCTAACCACCAATTAGCGAAATGTTTTCCTTCCATGTACATTGATGCTGTAACAGATCATTTGGTTCTGGCAAAACATCCATGCCGGTATCCAATAATCAATAAGTTGCGTAGTTATCGTCCACTCTTGACAAGAGACCTGCGAATGTAATCGGCAATGGTTGTACGGATTTAATTAATTTTCCTAATATCAACGCTGAAGAATTAATGTTTCTGGCGACAACAGAAATACGAGCTAATAAAATGGGAGCTTCAATTTTATTCCTTTATAATACTGGTTCGATGAAAACTTCGACAAGTTGGTCAGCTGCTACTTTTGAGTATAGGTGGAATTTATCTTCTCTGGACCCCCACAAACTGCAATTCCTATTTCCAAATTAGCTGCACCTGCCAGTTTGTCATACGTGCTGGGATTTCATTAGACCTGAAAGGGATATGTGCAGTTGTGCGAATCAGTGTAGGCAACCAGTGGTCTATGTGACTCAAAATGTTTCCTACTGCAGAATCTTGAAAGTTCAGGGGCACATTTAACATTGTCCATGTTATGAACGAGATATATCGTTTTGATACTGCTCATCACCTCCTTCACATGTTTTACTTTGTCAGGTATTATCAATGAAAAGAAACTTCGTCTTAATATTACATGATTCTATAATCAAAGCCAAGCATCCTGATAAAAATTTGCATGGGGAAAGTTAGTTGTATATATCGTGGCTGTCGAATTGTTGGTTAAGTAATATTAGTTTGCTGATGTTTTCTTTGTGAAAATGGCCCGGTTACTGTTCATATACACAAAAAATGACGTGATTTCGAGAGGAAAAACAATACTTTGAAGCACATTCTCTTTCTAGAAATCATTCAAAATGGCTACCTATATGTAATGGTAAAGCGAGAAGCTCCAAAGATCATTCCTCAATATTTATAACATAATTCACTAATACAATATAATATTGATATACCAAATTGACCTTTTGTATTTTCATAGACTACAGCACTTACATATTCTTTACGCATATTTCATACTTCGAGTCTTAACTGTAGACCCATCTTGAAAGACCTCAGCTATAGAATGTCGACCATGTCGACGTCTCTCATATCGATACTTCGTAACCTGATCCAGGCTGAATCGATTTACCGGAAAGTAGCTGAACAGCTGATCTGAAATAGTTTTAGTGTTTGTCGTGGGTCCTTTGAAACAGTTATTAACCGAAAGGAATTCCCAGTTATCTGATGAATGCAATACAGAATGTTTTACGCTCACATCAGATTCTGCATATTTTTAAAGTAAGCCATTTTATTGTGACCATCAGATATGGGATTATGCCAGTTAGTTCTGTTATGTTCGAAAGTTCGACAGTTTTTTCGCCTACTTTTTTCTTAACGGAACAAAGTAGGCTTATTTAATCACTGTATTTTCTGTGTGTTCGTGTGTTTGTGCCCCCCCCCCCTTCAACGTCTGAACCAACTGACCGAGGTTTTTGGAACTGTGTACACTACAGCAATGCGGAGCCGTACTTTTAATTTCCCAGTCACTACAAACATGACGGATGCCAGAACTTGTGTGCTGGGAACAACATTTTAGACATTTAATTGGTGATGCAGCCCCATAAATTAGCGTCTCCCGAAGTGCTAGCGTGAAGATTTTCCAGGCACCGCCGAAAACAGATTCTTAATTTTAATACTAAAAGTCAGTTTTAAATTACATTCACTTTAATGAGAAAATACTGCATAGGTAAAATTTAGGTTCATTAGTAGTTATTTTTTTAACAAGTTCTAGTGACACTTAAAGTCACTTTTATAAATTATTTCCCAGAAACCTTATTTTATTCACACCAAGGGAGGCTGTGATGAAAAGAGTATATGAACTGCTGCCGTAAATTGTGGATGCTGGTGATATTTTTGGTTATTATATCCAGTAATTATCTATTTGATCCCACAGCGTTAGGAAGGTCAAAGAACTCTTCATCCATATGCCAAGTAGTGAAAATTTTCAGTAGAATTAAAGGTGCTCTGCTTGGAGGTTGTCGACAATGAAGACCTTACAAAAGTTGCTGCCGAAGAAAAGCAGAAGCTACAAAATATACAACATCCTTTCTTCCCAATGAACGTACCCTCTCCTTACTGCACATGTTCTTCAAAATGAGATTTGAAGTACAAAGTTTTGGTTGACTGGTAGAAACAAGATAACTGGCTACATTTTTCTGAGAATTTCTTCTTTTATTGCCTTTCTAGATGATGCCTTTGCATCTGATGAACCTCAAGCTCATGCATGCATCCAAGATCCTTGGTTAAGAAGTCCTACTATACAAGTCACTGTGATCTAATGAATTCTGAACTGTTTGATGAAGTCGCCTGAGGCAGTCAGCTATGTCAAGATGTAGTTAGTGAGGCAGAGACAGACTCCAAAATAGACATTAATTCTACATGTCTGATAATCCAAGAAGATTCTTTGCATTCAGTCACCATGAAAGCTTGAAGTTTTATATGTCATCATCCATCATAAGATGGCACCAATAAAACCTGTAACACACTGCCCATGTTCTCGCCGTCCTGCTTCCTAACAAGTTAGTGTAGTATTCAAAGTATCAAAGAAGGTATCACAAGGTTCATGTAGACCTGGCAGCTCTAATTTTCCCCATTTTAACATTCATGAGAAATTGGAATAACTAGAATCAAAGAAATATATTTGAATATATAAGATAACTTTATTTCTGTGATCAAATGCCACGAAATATACCTTATTTCCTGGTGTATGTAACGCATAATGTTTTAGGAAGGAGAAATTAAATATTTTTTTCTAAACCACACTGATTTCTAGGCCCATTTGAGGGAAACAAAATCTATGGCTAATACAGAAATAGTACATCTAATAGAATATAAAGTTGTGATAAATAAATCTTATTCAAAATAATATAATCCACTCAAACTGTCGCAAGAAAAATAGTAAATCTGTTGACAAATTATATTTTGACCTCCACCTGAAGAAAACATTTATTTATATTAAACATATATGGTCCAAAATTAAATCCTTTAAATAGAAATTGATGTGGAATAACTGCACTTGGTGGCACATTGGTACTTAGTATCTTTACTAACATCAAGCAATCAAGTGGGATTTGTGGTGGACAAAGTGGCGGTGGTGCAGGTTTTCTCAGAGTACTTCAGTTTCCCCTGCCAATCTTCATTCCACCAATTGCTCCACAATCACTCTCACATATCATCTGGGGCGGCTGCAGTACAAGGGACTTAGTCCCAACCCACTGGGGGGGGGGAAAGCAAATTGAATTCTGGTCTAATTTAGGCTATATAGATTACCCCATAAAATAAAAGGACTAAGTTTATGATTGTATACTTAAAGAGTATTTAACGGCATGAAGAGTTTTAAATCTAAGTTAACATTCTTATTACAGAATTCCTTTTATACCATTGATGAATTTTTTGAATTGAAACATAACTAGAAATAGGATTAAAACAATAAAATTTTATATTGAAGCCATGTATTATGATGATAAGAGTGATATATTATATGTGGCCTATTGTAGATGTATGTGCTTGTTTTATATTTTGTACATAAATGATTGTTATTGTGAAATGGACGTACAGTCGGATTTACATTGTATAGTCAATAGTGTTACCTTGCATAGTGAGTGATACATTATATATGGTCTATCATAGATGCATATGAATGTTTTTTACTTCGTGATATCCAGTCAGATTTATATTGTATGACTAAACCTCTTATTTTCTTATCTGGTATAAACGATGACAGATTCTATATCTATGTACATAAATCTCTGGAAGACACATTAAATATGAATATGAATATTTCAGTCAAATGGTGTAATCAGTAATACAGAGGAAATATGTGTAATAAACAATATAAATTTCCTGTGTGTATAGGTGTACTGGAGTATACCTACTGATACATGAAATGTATCCTGTTATAATGCACTGTACACTGCCAGTCTTACCAGTTACAGCCATTGGATCTTTAACCACTATCTAAACTATTGACATCTGTCAGTGAACAGTGTAACTAAGTCAGAACAGTTAGTGAGCAAAACAGACATAAGGATCATAGCTTTAAAGTATGTTCCTGAGATGTTGGTTGTTTATTTAATGACACTGACATCCTGATATGTGATACAGTGCGATTAATGATACTGTCTCATTCTGAAATATTTTACTTGCATTTGACATAATATTAAATCATATCTCCACATTGAAGTTAAGGAAATACTGAGGTAACAGCAAAGAATTCTATGATAGATTCATTAGGAGTCATAATGCTACAGTAAAGCCAAATCATGAATATAAAAAGTTAAAAGTATGGTTCATCTGAAGATTAAAATAAAATAAAAATATATTTCTACCTGTTCTATATTGATGGAAAACTTGGTCTCTCACCTGAAGGGAGGAACATGGATTGAGGGTGTTTGAGAACAAAATCTTATTTTTGTAACAGAGAAAAGGCAACACTAGTATGGAGACAATTATAGAATGAAATGCTTCATATAATTTGTACTCATCACCATATATTTGGAAGAAATTGGTAAGACATGTAGCATGCATAAGAAGATGAGAAATACTTAAAAAGCAAACTTTAACCAGAGAACTTGATATAGATAGAATAAAATATTGAAATGTATCTGAAAGAAATTGGATTCAAGTAGCTCAGGAGAGATTTTTTTTTCTGATAGTGTTCTAAGCAGTATTAACCACATTTCAATCACAGGATAATTCATGTGAGGTTTCTGGTGAGTGAAGTGGTCCTGGAGCAGGTTTCTCTCAGAGAACTTAAGTTTTCCTCTGTCAGTTATCATTTTGCCAATTATCCATGCTTATCTCCTTTTTTTTTTTTCCTTGGCACTACAGCCCCAGTGGGCTTAGGCCTACCTCCTTGAACTTCTCGGTTCACTTCGGTTTTTCTAGATCTTAGACATATGGTAGGACTCCTTGGGCGGGTGATCAGCTCATCGCAAGGCCTCTACCTGTACACAAACACAGAAAAACGCACACAAACATCCATGCCCTGAGTGGGATTTGAACCCACGATCCCGGCTTCCGAGCGAGCGAAGACAGTGCTTGCCTTAGACCGCTCAGCTACCGTGACCGGCTTTAAAGGCTGGTTACAGTAGGTTTATTTGATGATAAGCCAACCTAACATAAATATCATGAAATGACCTGGGTTATGGTATGTGGGAGGCTTTTAGCTTCAAGATCATATGAGAGCCTCATTGTCAATATTTGTTTTTTTACAGGCTTGTTCTCAGACTATATTTTACAGAGTACATATTGGGCAGATCAGGCAATTCTCTGACCTTCACCACTCTCGCTATAACAGTGAAGAACAGAAACAGATATTACAGGTACTTAATGAATCCAGTGCAGAAGAAATGTGCAGGTAACAGATGTTTTCTCAAATATTTTATGACAAATTAAATTTGTCAGATTAATTTCTTTATCACTTTTCCACTTTCTATGTATCTATGAGTATGAAGAATTACTTTGAACTGGAATTCATTGTTGTTTTTATTATGAAGTGTTTTACCTTTGTGAAGTAGTCTAATGTGTTTATTGCTTTTTCAGTCAGTGTAACCAAACTTATTTATATTATACAAGCATAAATCAAACCTAATTTGACTAGGTTGACATACAGTCATAAATCCAGTTAGATTGCGACTAAAACTTCTTTGAGGTTATATCATCAACAGACAGTGACCTATCTCATTATGTAACACTGGAAAGTTACAGGACTCTTATTTTCATTGTACCATGATGAAAGAAATAAAGGAAACTTTCAAAACCTAGTGTGTTATAAACTGGGATAATGGACAAAGTTCAAAATGATAGTCTTAAACACTATTTCACAACATAATCAAAAAACTTCGCACTTAGATTGTATTTCTGTATTATCATGATACTGAACAGTTTCATATACATGTGTGATAGACAGAAACCTTGACTGTATATTCACGACAGGATGCAAAGCATAAACATAAAAAAAAAAGAGAGTTATACCGCCATCTTTGAGCAGATTGTCTAGATAATGTGGGACCTTCAACGTCTCACAACCCTGTGGGCCTTCACGGCCTGTTACAGGGATAGCTTTACTTTTTACTTTACTTTTATACAGTGTCTGAAATATTTTCTAGTGGTTAATTCTATAGAACATTGCTGAATGAATAATCCCAAGTAGGCATATTTAGCACTTGGCTTGTCCAGCCTTTCATGAACTGTGTGTATGGAAAACTGTAATTTGGTAAGAACATTTATTGGCATGTATGTCTTTATCTATGTTAAACTTTCAGTTACGTTTCTGTAAATATTTATCAGTTACACATAAGCCTATTTCATTCCTACCAAAAAAAACACAAATTTCAATATCTGAATCTGTTGAGGTGAAGTTACAAGGGTGCAAGGGCAAAGAAAGCCCACCCCTTATACATTCATTCACTCATTCATACATACCTTAGGGCCTTCCCCGTAAGTCTGTTTTTTTGTGCGGGGTGGGGGGCTACAACTGTTCCTTTACTCAGTTCTACATTACACACTAAATTTTGTTGAAAAATTTCATGTATTTTTCAATATACCTTTCCTACTTAAACCAATTATAGAATATTTCTCTGGTTCATAAAAAATTATCCAACATAATATTTAGTCAGTACCATATGAAATCCCCATAAGAAGATTTATAATTATATGTAGTGTACACAGAGTGGTAGAAAGCAATGATGACAAAAGAACTCTACGTACATAACCTTATTTCGAAAAAAGAAAACGCTTATTTCCATCACAGCATAGGAAAGCTGTGTGCTCCGTATGAATCCTAGTTAAATAAAGCTGTACTCCTGGAGTCATGAGTAATCTGAAGAATTTATTACAGGTATAATGTGAAATATATCAGAGGAAAGTCCACTGCAATTTCATAAGATGTCACACACAATTACTGGGGTTTTGGACTTTTTCCATTGTCTGGAATTCTAGGTAATAGAGGACATGTCATTTTGGAAACTGGATCTCTTTCTGTCTTCAGGTGAGATCCAGTTTCTGAAACATGTCCTCTATTGCCTAGAATTCCAGATGATGGAGAAAGTCCAAAACCCCAGATATTGTGTGTGTCATCCACCAAACCCTTTAGAATCTATTCATAAGATGCCTCAAATGTACGTGGGGCAATCCAAAAGTTTCCGAAATTTGAATTTTGCGCGTGAATGGTTATGAGTACATCGAAATACTGCTAGATGTCTCCTCACACATCCTTCTTGAATCAGTGTGGCAAGCGGCGTCGAGTTGAGTGGTTGGGTTTATTGTTGGTGAACGTATTTACATTGTTGTGTTTCCGTGAGTCTGCGGTTTTGCGATGGCTGACCTGAGGGAGCAGCGTGTCTGTATAAAGTTTTGTTTCAAACTTGGGAAAACCGCTGCAGAAAGACACCAAATGTTGAAGCAAGCTTTTGGTGACAACAGTTTAGACCAGACACAAACTTACGACTGGTATAAGCGTTTTAAAAATGGCCGAACATTGACTGATGATGACGATCGTTCGGGACGGCTGTCAACTGGCAAAACACCAGAAAATGTCGCGAAAGTTAGGGATCTGATTCTGCAAGATCGTAGACTGACCATCCGAGACCTCTGTAACACCTGGGGACTAAGTTATGGTACATGTCAACGAATTTTGTCAGAGGAACTGAACGTGAGGAGGATTGCGACAAAGTTTGTGACATGACTGCTGCAAAATGAACAGAAGCAGCATCACTTGGAAGTCTGCAGGGAACTTCAGCAACAGCTTCAAGAGGATCCAAACTTTCTCTCGAAGGTTGTCACTGGTGACGAAAGTTGGGTTTATGGCTACGACCCTGAAAGGCAGTAGCAATCGTCGCAATGGAAGAGCTCTTCTTCACCTCGGCCAAAAAGAGCTCAACAAGTCAAGAGCAACATTAAGTCCATGTTGATCTGTTTTTTTGATATTGACGGGATTGTTCATAAGGAGTTTGTCCCTCCTGGTCAGACAGTCAATAAAGAGTTCTATCGCGATGTTCTAAGGCGTTTGAGGGAGGACATGAGGAGAAAACGTCCGGAGAAGTGGCGCATGAATGACTGGGTACTCCACCATAACAACGCACGACCGCATACGGCTTACATTGTGCAGGAATTTTTGGCTAGAAACAAGATGGCAGTTGTTCCCCACCCACTGTACTCGCCAGACTTAGCTCCATGCGACTTCTTTCTCTTCCCCTAGATGAAAATCAAGTTGAAGGGGCGAAGATTTGATAGAGTTGAGGAAGTTCAAGTGGAAATGCAGACGGTACTAAACACCCTAACAAAGAAAGACTTCCAGGATGCATTTGAAAAGTGGCAGAAACACTGGGATCGGTGTATGCGCTCCCAAGGGGACTACTTTGAAGGTGATGGTGCAGAATAAGATGTAGGTAAGATGTAATAGTTTTTATTAATATATTTTGGAAACTTTTGGATTGCACCACATATACATATATGGATATTTGTCTTCATTCTGTAGTTTATCATTTTATAATGACAGGTGAAAATTCACACACTCTGAATTCTAAAGAGCTTTTGTAATGTTTGAACTCATTAGTTTCATAATATAAATAACACTGTTAAACTTGTTTTAGGTTTAATGTCAGCAAATATCGTGTAAATAGCTTACAGCGGTTTCGGCGTAAACATGGCCAATTTGGCACATTAGATGATGTTCTTGAGGTGGATGGTTTGGGAGTAAAGGTACTGGAAAGACTGTGTGACAGTATATTGAAACAAATTTCTGGATCTGAAATGGAAACCCCAGTAGAGATGGCTCAAGCAAAGAAAAAGGTGACATCACCCAAGAACAGAAGAAGCCAGATGCTAACCCCAACACTTCAGTTCGACCAGAAAATAGTGAGAGTTTAATATAGTTAACAATAAAAACAAAATAGCATTAATAATATATCATGATTTGGGTATTTTTGGATTATGAACAGAATGTACAGTCACTGTAAGAAAATGGAAGAGCAGAAGGATGTTTCATTCCATTTTATAATTTTGTATCAACATCATTCTCACGTTTAAGATCTAAAAGTATATGACAATGGTAAATTGCTACACGTAATATGTTTTTGGACATTATCCATCATGTTGTCTATTTTTAAAAAACCGTCCTGTTTCTTTTAAAAAAACAACATTTCGGAGACTGGATTCTATCTCCGGAGATAGGGGCTAGCTCTGTCTATTGGACCCAACGGAGTAGGTTTTACCTGAGGATGGGGACAGAATCCAGTCTCCGAAAGGTTGTGTTTTTAAAACAAAAAGGACGGTTTTTTTAAAAATAGACAAGATGATGGATAATGTCCAAAAACATATTCTCACATTTATTTGTGGTTTCAAAATGTTTAACATTTCAAACATCAGTACAGATTTTTGGCAAAATTTTACAGAAATCAGTTGTATGTTACATGAAGCTCGTATGGGGCAATCAGTTTGTGTGCAAGAGAGATATTTTTTTTGTACTTCTTTATAAGTAAAATAAGCATGTATATGTGTCCATACATATATATTTCTTCTCTAATAACTTTTGAACAAACTGACAGATTTTCTTAAAACTTAGTATGAAAATTATGTCTCTTTATACCAGTTTGTGAGTTTTTCACTGAACTTGGTATGAATATCATACCACTTTAGGCTACATCTTCTTTGTACTTTTTACTTTCTTACCATCAAGGATACCAACAGGAGTGTCATGCAATAAACATTCGACAGAGTCATAAGTCTTAGAGTGAGGGTTTTAATGGTTTTTCTCAGAAACTTTAATCATTAAAAAAACGATCAGAGCTGTCTTCATAATCTTCTCAGTGAAAAATGTCAATAAAAAATATAACATTAACAACTTTATTACAATGTTGTGTATTAACTGTTCTGATCCGTTCAATTACATCATTATCCATGATGATGGCAGCAGTGACAGTTGCTGAAGTGAAGTTTTGTTCTCAATAAAGTGGCTGATTGCCTGAGAGGATTTCATTGCATTTAGTCACTTGGACAGCTTCATGTTGAAAATATATTAGTGTTTTCAACTTAACGATTCAATTCCTATTGTGGACTATTTGCAATAGAAGTAAAAATGATGTACTGATACATTTGTTGTATCCCTGGAAGAAGAGGTGTAAGTTCGTGTAATGGTTGTTAAGAGCAACATATTTTTCACAAAAATACAACACAGACTGCTTAACTGATAATGGAATCACTATATTTAAAAGAAATGGAATTCATTAAGCAAACTATCAGCAGAGGTGTAGACTCTAAAATGTACAATGTCTGATCACTACGGCTCAGATTTCTATGACCTAAAATCTTTGAAAATATGCATGCATTTATGCCCTAAAAATGGCAAAATATGACAGAATGGCCCACAAAAAATAAGTAAATATTTAACAAAAATTCCTAAGAATGGCAATTTATTAAGAAGTTTACAAAGTTATTTTGTCCTGAATAAATATCTCTAAGCTCTGAAGCATCGATCACAGCACATTGCTGACCCCATAAAGAGAAAAGCTGAATGGCGTTTTATTGAAAAGTGTACAAAGTTATTTTTTCAGAATAAATGTCTTTAAGCCATGAAGCATCCATCACAACACAATGCTGACCCCGTAAAGAGAAAACATGAACGAAAGTATTGTTTATTTTAGCGTGAAAAGTAAACTAAAGTGTGCTAATAGTTGCAGGCAAATAATTTGTACGGTACCTTAATCTTCCTTTTCAGTAGAGTTGCACTGAATGACAACATGCATTTTCAAATTCTCGAACTTGAAGGACCTCCGATTGTCACTAACAATGGCCTTGTATTTGGAGAAACTCCTTTCTACGTCACAAGATGTCACAGGGGCTACTTGAAACAAGTCAAATCACTTGTGTCAAGTTCTAATTCGCTGTTGTCAAATTCAACTTCTTTGCCACAAAGAATGTCAGAAATTGCACACAGTGTTGAATATCCAGGATTTCGTTGGAGTACATTTTGTAATTTTGCACTAATTTTCAAAGCAACTTCGCCCTGTGCTTGATGTAGTTCACTTTCAACTTTCTTAACAATTTGTAATGCATTGCACAGTTGCATGCCCACAGCTTCAAGTCTAATGATGGATTTTGATATCACACTGAAATTTGATTTTATGTACGCTAGATTTCTTGACGTGGTGAGATGAAAACAAATTTTGTACAGTTCGAATTGAAGATGAATCATCTCTGTCAAACTTCATGAAGATATTTTCAATCACACTATAGTGTGTGCAATAATAATCTGCAGCATCGAGCCAAGTCCCCCATCGTGTTAGAATAGGCTTAGGGGGAAGGGGTAGTGATGGAGCCTCTTCTTTAAACTTCTGCAATCGAAGTGGAGCCTTAACAAAAATTTTCTTCCCATTTGCTATTAATTTATCTACATCAAAGTAGCTCTCTCGCACCTCTTCTGCTACCCTATGCAGAGCATGTGCGAGACACGTTGCATGAATCATTTTGGGATACAGTACCTGAAGTCCCTTTGCTGCCTTTACCATATATGGAGCGGCATCCGTTAAGAAGAGGAGCACATTCTCTCGTTCTACCTTATTTGGCCACAGCAAATTCATCGCATTGTCGAAAACAACAGCAATGGAAGAATTATTCACTTTTTCCAACACCTCACATGCCAATAGGAATATATCTCGAGGCTGGTCATCTTTCAGTATACCAACAACATTCGCTACAAATCTACCACTTATGTCGGTAGTTTCGTCGATAGACACCCATATTTTATTATTTCCGACACAGTTTCTTATTTTATTGATGGTAACAGGAAGTGAGATAGTTCTTTCTTAATGTGGATTCGGTCGGAATGGGATGAGTTGTATATTTTTTTAGGAAGTTTCGGAAACTAGGTGTATCTACTTTATGTAATGGAATATTTGATGAAACCATCATAGTACAAAGATCCTTTGAAAACTCGGAAGCATTTCCTGATTTCGGTGAACTGGAGGATGACTTTTCAAACAACAATCGCTGTCTACTTTCCGTGGTAATTTCTCTGTTTACACAGCTTCTATGTTTAGCTGTATTGCAGTGTTGTTGCACCGTAAAACGTTTGTCTGCCGTAACTTTCACTTCACACATTTTGCAAAATAAAATTTCTCCGACAGCACTAAAATATTTGTCACCAAACTCTTTAATAAAACCATGCAACTTCACGCTATTAGAGCACTTGACTTTAGGCATCTTGAAACTATACTGAACAACTGAAGTTATGAATACAGTACTGTATTGGATGGGTTTGGGGAGAGGGTAGAAATTTACTGCTTTGTAGATGGAAAAATTTTTCACCAATATGCAAGAAACAAACTGGACTTCAGGTATCACTGCAGTGGAGGAGAAAAAGAGACACAGACAGACAGACAGACAGACAGAGGCAGAGGTGGCAATTTCTCTTTTCAAAGTGGTTGATTCTACGCCAGGTCAAGAACCGTTACCGTTCACACTGTACAGTATTCCTTCAAATCCCGTTACACAAGGCCAAATATTGCTAAGAAATGAAGTTCCAAATAACATCATTGCCAATACTTGCAAATATATTTCTGAGCAATAAGTGCAACTCGCCTAAAATATGACCAAAAATATGATTTTATATCACTTCGGGCCCAAATATGACCTAAAGCTAAAATATGGTTCAAATATGCATTTATATGACCAATAAAAACCGTATTTTCATGTTCACAAGAGTCAGAAATGTGTTTATATTTAATTATACATGTGAAAAGATGCCAGGATAAAAATATGATGTCATAGAAATCCGAGCCCTACTGATCACAAATAAGAATTTAAGCACTGCCCCACAATTCTGAATCACAAGAGTCAGAAATGTGTTTATATTTAATTATACATGTGAAAAGATGCCAGGATAAAAATATGATGTCATAGAAATCCGAGCCCTACTGATCACAAATAAGAATTTAAGCACTGCCCCACAATTCTGATTAATTGTCTTCTTTTATTGTGCAGACCGTGGAGAGTGCTGTGGGAATTCATATTGGTGTCGGTACCTTAACATGGGCCCACATTGATTGCAGTGGTAAATTACTTCAGTGGGATCTCTACAATCTTGAATTTGGTAACAGGAAATTGCATGTCACATCTTTGTTTCAAATTGTAAGTTTCATATGTCAAAAGTGAGTTATTTTTATAGCTGTTAATTAAATCCTGGCTAACAGTTAACTTATGCATATCTCCAGAAACAAGGTAACAGGCTAAACAAAATGAAGGAAACACTTTAAGATATTAATACTGTGACATGTAGACCCCTTGCTAGGGAATGCCTTAGGAAACAATCCTGCAACAAATACTCAACCAACAATAGAGTATACCCATTTCTAAGCAGCGCCCACAGTATACATGCACAACAATAGAACTTGTGTCGCAAGAGATGTTTTCTGTGTGGTTTACACATATCCATTGCTGGGCAACATGTGTTTTCTATGCTGTTGTCCAACCTGATACTTTATAACAAGAAGCCAACAATCATTCATAGTTCAGTTGAGACTGAATTCTATACTGGAAAAAGGCTGTGAGAAAAGAATTCAGTTGTCGGTTGAAAGTCAACCCGTGAAGAGAAAAATTAGCATGTGAAAAGAAAATTTTATGTGTACTATAGTTACAATGAGACCATTATAAATCTGTTGCCAGGATATGACCAGTGAAGACTTAGCGTGTCCTAGTGATTTGTGCAGTGGGTGGATTAGCAATAGAACTTTTATTTATTGTGATTACAAGGGATTTTAACAGGTGTTAATAAATCTATTCATCAATCCAAACTCACATCTTATTAGTCACCCATACACATGTATTATATATAGGACTGTTTCATTTCACAGTGATTTCATATGTACTGATAGCTAGTCCTTTTCCTAATAACATCTGTGAAGGTGATTCTCTTCCCATCCACTAGAGGCACACGTGGTATTGAATTGAATTGAATTGAATTTATTTACATTCTATAAATCCTAAGCAGGTTAGTACCTTTGGATACAGAACATGTCAAAAGGTTACATACATAAGTACAGGCAATTTTAGCTTAAAAATTAATATAACTTAATTTTACATCATTCTCTATTTACATTGAAGTATTCATCTAAAGAGTAGAAGGAATGAGCATGTAGATAATTCTTTAACTCTGATTTAAACTTTTTAGTATCATTGCCCAAGTTTTTAATACTTTGTGGCAGATTGTTGAACACTTTTATGCCAGTAAAGTAGACTCCTTTTTGATATACTGATAAAGTTGATGAGGGTAGGTGGAAGTTATATTTTTGTCTAGTATTCATGTTACTGACATCAGAATGGCATCTACAAAGGCAAAAGCATTCTGTGTGATTCAGTTTGCAAAGAAGAATTATCTCAAGTGCATGCTAAGAATTTCATAAATGTTACTAGAAGGATCAGTCATGATGAAAGTCGATCTATATGTAATGGTCTGATAATAAATTTCATGAGCTCATCATGGTAAAAGTGCTACATACCTCATTGCTGACTATCACTGTGATCACCTTCAAAGTACTCCCACTGGGAAGCTATGCACCGATGCCAATGCCTAGTCCACCCTTCAAAACAGTTTTGGATTGGTTTTGTAGAATGCCCTTCAGAGCTGCTGTCGTATTACTCCTGATGTCCTGATGTCATCAAAATCCCTTTCTTTCAATATTTCTTTTGGAACAAAAAAAAGTCACTGGGGTTTAGATCTGGTGAATAGGGAGGGTGTTCCAGCACAGTTATTTGTTTACTAGCTAAAAACTCCCTCACAGACAGTGCCGTGTGAGCAGGTGTATTGCTGTGATGTAAGATCCATGAGTTGTTGGCAATGGCACACCAAAACACACTCAGACACTAATAGACACCACTCAGAAGGAGACTGCCATAGATCAACGACAACACAACTGTGAAGCAGGAATATGCCAATGTCATCAAACCATACTGAGGTTTCTGTCCACTGCTGCCATGGCAAGCACATGATGAGTTCATAAACTTTATTGTCAGACCTCATAGTATAAGCAGTTGGAATACAAAGGCTGCACCTGCAAGGAAAAGCATTATCTCCAGCTACCAGAGACATGCTGGTTAAGTTCTGGGAAGAAAGAAGAGAATCAAGAGTGACATATGCTGTGTGACATGGGGCTCACATTGAGCGGCCGTAAATTTAGAAACGTGGAGAGATTCTCTATCATTGTGTATCTGTCACTAATATTATATGGATAGATTAATTTCTGTGATTTTTGAAGTTTTTTCTTCATTTTGAATTGCCCTGTAGTTTCAGAGTATACTAAGCAAATTCCATGACGTTCGAAATGTGTAATGCTGAGTAAAGCGGCCAGGACATGAAGCTGACCACTCACCTCCAACTAGTGGAAAGGTCAAGAAAATGTGGGTCTATATACAAGGGTTGGAACTTTAATAGTGGCAACACTGCTGTAGAGATGCCATGCGATGGAACCAAATAATGTCACTTATACCACACGTTAGGTACATACCTACCTTACCTCAGAGCAAATGGACTCTCCTTTCCCACATCACGTGCATGAGCAGTGACGAGAAGAACAGTGCCTCGTGTTAGCTGGCGGTCTAATGTAGTGTTGTCACGATGTTCTCGAAACAGGAACAACGGAGTTGGATAAAGATTGAATGCACCAGAGCCTGTTTGTTCGATCAGTGGGGCTGGGAAGTGCTGTACCATCCACCATACTCCCCAGCCCTTGTGACTTCGACTTGATTCCCAAGATGAAGGAACCACTTTGTGGCATTCACTTCAGAACTGTTCCAGAGGTTCTTCAGGCAGTAGACCCCTCCATTCAAATTATCAACATAACAGGCGCTGCTAAAGGTATCTTATGACTTCCACATCGCTGGCAACGGGTTGTACACAATGCTGGTGACTACATTGAAGGACAGTAAAACTTCGAAACTTGCATCTATTTTGTATCAGTTGTAAATAAATAGTTGCCACTATTAAAGTTCCAACCCTTGTATACACTCCTCCTTATGCCTTCATGGTGTAGTGCTTAATTAGTTAAGCACAGGGACATCTTTACCTTTACTAGTCATATTCTGATGTAAACAGTGTATTGGAAGTAGAACTGATAGTCACTTTGAGAGTGGAAAGTGAGGAAAGTTGTTGTTCCAGGTGAATATCATCAGAGCATAGAACAATATCATTTCTCTCTGTATCTGCGACACTTGCATGATGTCACCACACAACTAACATATCTCACAAGGCTGGAGATACAATAAAGATAAATCACCTGCTTATTCTTAAATTGCATTCTGATTATGACAGTGTAAGGCACTAATGATTACATTAATTCACAGGTTCAGGGTATATGTGAAAGACTGCCCAAGGGAGATGTGTTTATCATGGAAGATAATGTTGGTTTCATGCAGTCACTTCAGCAGACACCTGCATCTGTATCCATCAACTTGCAGACATCACAGCTGACTGCCATGTTGGTAGCCTTGCTCAACAGTAAGCATAATAGTTCAATTTTATGTAGGATTTGAGATACTCACAGCAGTGGTTATGAAGAATTCTGTCTTGTTTGCTGTCTGCTTCATGCTGGGTTCTTGCTTGGCATATTCTTCAGCCCTGAAGATGGAGGTGACATGTTCCTCCAAAATGTCGATTGACTTTCAGCAGACTACATGCTGTCATATTCCAGAAAATAGAACTCTTCAGTTTAATTTGTAGTTTAGCGAAATATAACATGTAATAGTTTTGTAGTGGATACAAGAATGTGGAATATCTTTAGTCAAGGTGAGATGGCACCATTCACCAGGACAGAACACAGATCAGCTTGCTGTTCCATCAGTTCAGGTAGTACAACCTGGATGTATTGAGCTCACACTTTTAAAAATTGGAGCTATTTATAACCAATGTTTTACACAGAACTGCTTTTGAATCTGGAATAGTTCTGCTACTATCATAAAAGTCTTCAGCACTACATCAAGATTCATTTGTCTGATGTATGGGAATTTTCAACACTGTGAGATTTGAGGTTCTCATGAGGGTGACTGTAAAGACTATTGTCTTCTGGGATGTGACGCTACATGATCTGGTAGACTTCTTCTCAGTACTCATAATCAGTATGTATTCTATACAACATTTCACTTTCATGCATGAATAAACCACACTAATTTATGCAGTAGCCAGCTTATGAACTTTGATTCTTGTAAGCCTGCTCCTCTTTAGAGTTGAAAATAAAGTCCTAATGAAATTTATTCTGAAAATTTGAGTGCTTTCTACACAATTTAATGAGAAAATCACAATTAAATGAATGACTGTTAGAAAGTCATGTGACATGTTTAGTATCAATATATCTTATGGATCATATCAGCAAATGGATACCATGTGCCCCGAGTTTTGAGAAAATAATGTGCTACAAGTTCATTATCTTTTTCATGTATGTTTCTATATATGGTAAGGTAAGGTAAAGCTATGCTGGTCACGGTAGCCGAGCGGTCTAAGGCATGCACTGTCTTCACTCGCTCGGAAGCCAGGATCGTGGGTTCGAATCCCACTCAGGGCATGGATGTTTGTGTGCGTTTTTCTGTGTTTGTCTACAGGTAGAGGCCTTGCGACGAGCTGATCACTCGCCCAAGGAGTCCTACCGTATGTGTAAGATCGAGAAAAACCGAAGTGAACGGAGTTCATGGAGGTAGGCCTAGGCCCACTGGGGCTGTAGTGCCAAGGAAAAAAAAAAGGTAAAGCTATCCCTGTGACAGGCTGTGAGACATTGAGGCTCCCACATTTTCTAGACAGTTGGCTCACAGATGGTGGTGTAGTCAGCCTTACAAGCCAGCCGCCCTCTCACCCCCCAGAAAGATTCCTGGTACTCATTTCTATTAATTTTCACTTTCCCAAGAGATCAGAGGAAGGGGAGACGACTGACTTTATGCAGAATGTCTTAATTTATTAAAGGATTTTCACCAAAAGAAGGATGAAAGCTAGTGATCTACATAGATTTGAGACATTTTTCAAAATATTAACTTTCTTGCAGTAACTGCAGAATATACTGGAATGCCCATTTAATATTTCTTTGATTTACATTTTTTTTTTTCATTTAGTGGTGAGTTTTACTGATCCCAAATCAATAATCACAGTATTAAATTACATCCGTTTAAAAAGTTTCCTCACTTTAGTGTTCAGATTCACTTTATATTAATTTTACCCACCTTTAATTGTTTTTAAGAACCTTTCCACTTATCTTTGTATCATTTGAAATGGTTATGTAAAATATGTTTTATGCAAGGTAAAGTAATCCTTTTTGAGAAAATATTATCCATTGTGAATCTTAAGAGGACATAAAACACAAGCCATGTAAATATACATTACAGACATCTTGCCCTTGCAGATTCTCCATTGTCTGAAGAAGAGTCATCATTTCAATATGAACATCGTGTGTTTTTCTTACGATCCCAGCTACCAGCACGTCTGTTTGGAATTCTCGTTGGGACAGAGAGGGTGTCTGCACAGGCAGTGGTATTAGACATTCTCTGTGGAACTCAGAAAAATTCAACAACTGAACCATCCGACAGGAACCTAACTTCTGATGTATACACCCCTATTAGGGTTGATAAAAACTTGACAGAAGCGTACCTCATGAGGACAAGTGTCGAGAAGGAGAGCTTATGTTGGGGTCTGCTACTGACTATGGCATTCATGGATCTTATTATGCATCAAAACCCCCGAAGTCTGGGAGCAATTAATAGTAGGAAGTCGTGATGAGGCAGGGTGTGTAGAAGGAAAAGTTCATGTGTCATGTGTCTCGAAAAGGCATGCAGGATTTATTGCAAGTGAAATGTTATCATGAGCATGACCAGAGTGAATATCAATGCAAAATCAGTTGAGATCTGTGGATTAGTATAATTTCCTGACTTTTCATACAAATTTTTTTGGTATAGGCCAGGAACTTTAATCTCAGAGGCTTCACGTAATGTGTAGCTCTTCCTTGCTGCCTCTGTTGGTTTCCATGTAGTTGGCTCTTAGCCTTTCCACTGATGGTAAATGAATGGCTGTGTGATAGCTCGTATTTATCGATCAGAATTTGGATCTAGCCAATGTTAATCTTCACAAATCGATATATTTCTTATCTTTAAAACTAATTTTGTTTATAAAACAATAATTTCATACACTTTTTTTTACATTACAGCAACATATATTTTGTGGAAGAGTTCTTTCCATAACATACAACAGTATTTTCCACTTTGGTAGAACTGTTCCCAGCTTAACAGTAAAGGGATTAAAATTTGGGTGGAAACAACAGTTCTTTTGCACTGTTTCAGTAGGAAGATGTCTCCTTGTATGTATGGGCAAATAAACTGACAGTTAATAATAAATGCTCTATTTTTAGTTTAGTTTTAATTTCAGAAATACCTTATATAGTTTCCTAGCCTGTATGTCTTATCCTCTTTTAGTGCCCAGTTTGAACACTTACGCATGTTGTGTGTTTGTAAATGTCTGTCCATCTGTCATCTGTCAGCAGGAAACAATTTGAGAACTGCTCTGATTGGATTTTCATGAAATTTGAAAATGGAGAGTTTTACTAAAATATGTCCATGCATTCCAGTCTTGATTAAAATCAGACCACAGTTAACAGATACTTTACAAGAAGACCTACGTGTATTTCTAAATGCATGTTGGGCATAACTCACTCTTATTTGACTGAAAAGTTGTTTGAATAAACACTGTGTTCAGAAAAAGGTTAAATGTATCACACAGATGCAGCCAGATGCATTATATTATTAATTTGCATAAAACAGCAGTTAACTGTTTCAGGATAAACACAAATACACACGACTATCGAGTGCATCAGTTGGTTCTTTTCAGAAAACTGTCACATGTAAGGGGTTGCGTGACTCTAGATTTGATTATTGGGTTTACTGGCACTTCTTTATATTTACAATTGATTGTAACAGCTCACACATTGAACTCTGGAAGAAAGTATGTCTTGCAAATCTCTCACTAATCTTGGACTGATCTCTCCTCCTCAAATTCACAAATGCACTGCCTCTTATAACTTCAACTTGGCCTGGTTAGAAGTCACCATGTCCAAGGGTTCCATTACTCTTTTGTGTTGTCATGGGAATCTTGTGTTTAACTACTTGCTACCTGGCAACAACTCATTCACTGCTATTCATTGTAACCGAAAATAGTATTTGTTAATATTCATTGCCGCGGAAACACGATTACCAAGCTGATATCTAGCAATGGACGTCTGCTCAGGCTCCATCATTCTGGCTTTTAGCCGTAATGTTACAGTATATACATTCCAAATAATACTATATATTGCATCTGTCCTCTGTGTAATGCTTTAATAATTCTCTGAAGCTGTGTGACTTTTATTTAATCATTAACCCTGTCACTATACAGTCAGTGGCACTACACTGCTATAACACTTTGCTTATCATGTAACCATCACAGGTACATCACTTCTGGTCCATTCACCAAGGAACACAAAAATATACCAAAAAACAAAAACCACCAAGTACAACAAACTTTGATCATGCCAGAGATTGGAACAGGAACAAGAAGGTAATTGTAATTTTAAGACTAACTGAATATATGCAGTGTATCTGCTGATGGTTGCACGATGACCAAAATATACAAAATATACTCACGCCGCGATCAGTGGAAGGCACTCAGCAGCTTAGTCATTGTAGCAATTTGGTTGTGGGCTTGACAGGACAACTGAAGAATCAGGCTTCAATTTTCACACAATTTTTCTTCTTTGCTGTGTTCAGACCAGCTCTGGGACCCACTGATCTTTCTACTCTGTGAGTACCGGGGACTCTTTCTCCAAGTAGTAAGTGGCCACCGTTTGAATGCGACTGCATACCCCCATCCAGTGCCGAATTAAGAATGTTTGAACCTGCTATGTATTTGTCTACTGATCACAACAATTCTACACTTTCATTGAAGAACTGAGAGGCTCAAATATCAATAAAATCAGTTAATTTATTAAGATGTTGCTTATATGCTACAGATTTCAGTCATTAATGACCATCATCAGGCATTTATAAACGGTAAAATGCATTTACGTTAATTACTGACTGTCGCAATGGATCCATTGCTGTCAGTCTTGTCATATATAAAATTTTACGCTGAATTACAGTATTTAAATATCTAAATTAATAAATAAGATCTAAAAGGTTGATTAATTCTGTCCAGTGTGACTGATGGAAGTTTTTTTTTCTTTTTTGATATTTTATCCTTAACATGTTTTGGTCTTATACACCCTCTTCAGAAGGATATCAGTAGAAACCACTATTACAATATGTTTTGTGAGTATTAATATATACATACAATGTTACCATAATACAATGAGTACAAAATCTAATGATTTTAACAACTACAGCGGCTTGTACTAATACAAGCTCTATTATTTACTGTATTAGTACAAGCCGCTGTAGTTGTTAAAAACATTAGATTTTGTACTCATTGTATTATGATAACACTGTATGTATATATTAATACTCACAAAACATTTTGTAATTGTGGCTTCTGATTGTATTGATATCCTTCTGAAGATGGTCTATCAGATCAAAATATGTTAAGGATAAAATATTAAAAAGGAAAAAAACTTCATTAGTCACACTGGACAGAATTAATTAACCTTTTATAATATTGTTAGTGTGATGGACCAGGATGAAACAAATAAAAAAAAAAGACCTAAAAGTTTGTGACGATGGTACATTAATACAAATATTATGTTTTTAGACATTACCCATCATCCTGTCTTTATAAAGATGGAGACAGAATCCAGTCCCTGAAACATTGTGTGGTCAATGTACAAGTCTTCTTTATTTTATTGTATTTCTTCAATCAGCTTGGGGGAAAACAAAGAGCTTATATAATACATTGCAGTGTTGGGAAACCATCAGAGGAGTATACATGCAAAATTCTCATTCAGGTCTGAAGGAAAAAAAGAAACCTTGCTACTTGCTCCACATAATAATTCATAATACACACATTTTTCCTCTTACATGCAGCATTTGGAAACACTTAACATCTATCATTTCTTCACAATCTATTCAGAACTTGAAATTTTTTAACATGGACAAGATTTGAGATTAATAAATACTATCTTTGGAACATTTTCTGTTTTGTGACAATTTCATCATGGAGCACAAGTTTTATTTCTGTTGCTTCTGTAAGAATGACTTTAAATGATTTTGGTATATTCCAGTAGTGAGGAATGGTTAATGAAACAGTGTTAGCTAATAATAAGATCACATCCAAATAATGCCATATTAACCTTTATCATCTAGGAACAGGGGATTTAAATATACCAGCACTACGAAGCTGGTTGCCAAATTTAAACATGGTGTTAATGGGGCTTATATTGTAAATAAATAATGTGATGCAGAAGCTACTGGACCTGTGCGTGTGCTGACACAGTTGGGTGACACACAGGTGATAAAGGTTAATAACATCCTTATCATGCTGAAAAAATAAATCTGTGTGCCTTTTCTGATGTTGTGGAATTTTGTTTTTCTGAAATATTTATAGCTCTATAGGTATAAAGCCCAAGGAAGAGATTAGTAACCAATCATGATAAATCATGAACACACAAATACAAATATCCATACTCTATGCAGGATTGAAGTCTGCAACCAAATGTAATAAAGCCAAAAGCACCATGTCCATTCCAATTAGTAAAAACATATTTGACTATTCCATTTAGAGGTTCTCTTTCTTAAGAGTTGGCCTTGCTCAAAGCTCTAAATTTTTTAACCTATCCCATTTTATTAACCCAGGCTTTGTTTAGTAAGGGTAGGGAATCAGATCTTACTGAATCTTTTCCTGATCTAAGTGGTGTTTTCAAAGGTTCCTTGAATGCTTCACCACTACAGTAATTTTTAAGTGGGAACCGAAATAAATCTTGACAATTTCTGCTCCTTGATAAAAATTTATGTCCAAAAATAAAGAATGTGAAATAAATAACATCTATAGGCCACTTTTAAAGTAATCTGTGTACCACACTTTTCAAAGTTCTACCAATTCATCTGAGTTGTAGGAAGTATTGGCTTTGTTCATCTTTATTTTAGTTGCAACTTTTTTTTATACAAACCAAAATACTCTAGATATTTTGTGCTTTCAACCTATAAATCTTTTTAATGTTTTGAAACATTTACTTTAATTATTTTGACTGTTAGCAAACAAGACTGTATTAATATATCAGCTAGTGACGGTTGAATAGTTAAGACATATTCTCTTCTGAAATCTGTTGTCAAGTATAACTGTTTGTTTAGTTAAGGAACTCCCACAGTTCTGATTATTCAGCCTGAAAATGACATTTTGACATCCCATAACTGAATCATGGCATAATTAATTTCATTTAAAATGAATTAATTACATTAGGATAGATGTTTAAAAGGCTTGAATGATATGGTCTGAAAAATTTTAGTATATAGCTTTTTCGCCTGGTTTTCTGTTACTGGCAAACATTTCAGAATTCACAAGCCTGCTGATACATTGATGTGTTTCATCACTGAGACTAATATTGAGCATGAGTGTACTAGCAAACATATTTCTTTTAAATAAAGCAATGGCAATAACCATACATGGAAGTCAGAAACTAAAACTGGGCATAATCTATTCTAGAACCTCTTGAAGACACTGAACTGAGTCCTATACATCTTCATATTGAATGACAGGCAGATTGGTTTGAGGTTAGAGAAAACTCAGTTTTCATTAGGACGTCTTAGCATTGTGTGTGGTACATTATAGCCCACTGACCTTCCTAATCATATCCACACTAGCAACAAAGCACTGAACTGTTGCACTGAATTGTCACAATCTTCAAATACCATTTCGATTCTGATGATAATGTGTATCTGTGTATATGTATTTCTATTTTATTTGGGACAGAATTTTCAGTTTTTGGGCATATGTTCATAATTGTGACTTAAATGTATTATACAAAGATGTTTTGTAGATATTTGATATTATTTCAAACAGTAATGTTCTCTGAAACTAAACTCCGTGGTTTTAGTCCGCAAGAAAACTATACTGACTGAGCGACCGCCACTTGTCAGCGAAGTTAGTGCGAACTTTAGCAAATAAATTATCCTCACGAGGCTGAGTGGACCTCATTTCAGACCCACTACTTCTCAGAAAATGTTGTAGCACCGGGAATCAATCTGGGCCTCAAGATCTGTAGCCAGGAACTCTGACCACTAGACCACAGGGGCGGTCCAGTAATGTTCTCACAAACCTATTTATGATTTCATTCTAATCACTTTTCCATTATTAATAACAAGAGATGTCTTTTAATTGAAAGGACCTGCCATGTCTATCTGTGGTGTCTCCTTAAGAAATATGTCCAAATGTTGGTTACAATTCATTGT